AGAAATGCTACAAAGGGGCAGACCAGCTGCAGAAGGTACGCTTGCAAACCCTACGCAGGAAGTATGAACTGATGCAGATGAACAGTTCTGAAACAATAGCTCAGTACTTTACTCGAGTTATTGCTATCACAAATGCGATGAAGGAATGTGAAGAAAAGATATCAGATCAGTCGATTGTTGAGAAGATCTTGAGAACTCTAACCCCTAATTATGATCACATAGTTGTGGCCATTGAAGAGTCCAAGATTCTTGCTGATTTGAAGATTGAGAATCTTCAGGGATCACTTGAAGCACATGAGGTGAGGATCCTTGAAAGAACAACGGAAAGGTCTGTAGAGCAGACACTTCAAGTACAAACCACTAAGAGAGGTGGTTTCTCTGGTAGAGGTGGACCTCGAGGCAGGGGCGAGGTAGAGGTAACAAGAACAAGTCAAGACCTCATCACAGTCAAGATACCAACAAAGATGAGCCTGAAAGTTCTACACAGAGAGGTGGTCACAAGAACTGGAGAGGGGGAAAGAAAAAGATAGACAGGACCAAGATTACATGCTTTAACTGCAACAAGATTGGCCACTTCTCAAATGAGTGTCAAGCACCACCAGGCCAGTTCCAGGGTTCTTCTCAACAGTATGATGAAGCTCATTTGGCCAAGAATGATTCAGATGACAAAGAAGATGATGAGAAGGTCTTACTGTTAATGACAACTAGCACCAAAAATGATTTGAAAGGAGATAACATCTGGTATGTAGACTCTGGTTGTTCAAATCATATGACAGGCAACAGAAATTGGCTTGTTAATTTTGATTCTAGCAAGAGAACTCTGGTGAGATTTGCAGACAACAGGTCAATTGAATCTGGGGGTCATGGTGATGTCCTGATCTCAAGGGATTGTGACAAGAGTGTGCTGATAACTGATGTAATCTATGTTCCTGGTATGAAGACCAATCTGCTAAGTCTTGGTCAGTTATTGGAGAAGGGTTTCACCATGAAGATGCAGGATGGACACTTGGAAATTTTTGACAGTGTGAAGAATAGGGTTATGAAAGTTCCTCTCTCTCAGAATAGGACTTTTCAGGTAACCCTAAATACTGTTGAGTCTCAATGCTTTAATGCTGAAATTCTACTTGATGATACTTGGCTATGGCATTTGAGACTGGGACATCTGAATTTCAAAGATCTCAGCCTCATGAAATCCAATGAAATGGTGCATGGATTGCCTCAAATTAGCATACCAAAGAAGGTATGTGATGGGTGCTTGATCAGTAAACAACCCAGGTCATCTTTCAGTAGTCTTGTGTCCTCTAGAGCTACATGTGTGCTTCATGTTGTGTATTCTGATGTGTGTGGACCATTAGAGATACCATCTCTAGGAGGAAACAAGTACTTCTTAACTTTTGTGGATGAATGGAGCAGAAAAATCTGGTTGTATTTGGTAAAACTGAAAAGTGAAGTGTTTGATGTGTTTAAAACATTCAAATGCTTGGTTGAAAAACAATCAGAAAAATCAATTAAAATCCTCAGGACTGATGGTGGAGGTGAATTCTGCTCTAAAGAATTTGAACTATTCTACAATAACAATGGAATTGTGCATGAAGTGACAACCCCCTATACACCTCAGCACAACGGGATTGCAGAAAGGAGAAACATGACAATTCTGAACATGGTGAGATGTATGCTGAAACATAAGAACCTACCTCGTGGTCTATGGGGTGAAGCTGCGGTTACTGCAGCTTACATCTTGAATCATTGTCCAACCAAGATCTTACAGTTTAAGGTACCTGAAGAAGTCTGGACTGGTAAGAAGCCTTCTATCAAACATTTCAAAGTATTTGGATCACTTTGCTACAAGCACATACCTGAACAAAGGAGAAGAAAATTGGATGACAAGAGTGAACCTATGGTTTTTATAGGTTATCATCCTACAGGTGCCTATAAGCTGTATAACCCCAAAACAAATGAGGTGATGTTTAGCAGAGATGTTTACTTCCTAGAAGCAAGTTCCTGGCATGAAGAAAATGTTTCTGCAGAACCTAGATCAGTGGTTTCATTTGATTTGGATATCAGTGAACCAAATAACACATTGCAGTTAAATGCTGACAATGAGACTGAGCCTCCAAGGAGATCTTCCAGAGCTAGAAACATCCCATCCAGGTTAAATGATTATCATTTAATAACTGATGATGCAGTTGATAATGAAGGAGAACTGGTGCAACATATATCATTATTTGCTGATATGCAACCAGTTGACTTAGATGAGGCTTTGAACAGTCAAGTCTGGAAGGAAGCAATGGATGAAGAATTGAAGTCTATAGAGAAGAACCAAACATGGGAATTAACTGTTTTACCAGCTAACAAAATCCCGATTACAGTAAAATGGGTATTCAAGACCAAACTTAATCCTAAAGGGTCAATAGCTAAGCACAAAGCTAGGTTGGTAGCTAAAGGTTTTATGCAGAGAGAAGGTGTGGATTTCTCTGAGGTTTTTGCACCAGTTGCTAGGCTAGAAACTATTAGGATGATAGTTACTCTAGCTAATCTGAAGAGTTGGAAACTATGGCAGTTAGATGTAAAGTCAGCCTTTCTTAATGGCCCTTTGGAAGAAGAAGTGTATGTAAAACAGCCTCCAGGGTTCTGCAAGAAAGGAAAAGAAGATATGGTATACAGGCTTAAGAAAGCTTTGTATGGATTGAGGCAGGCTCCAAGGGCATGGAATAAAAGGATAGATGCCTTTCTTGTGCAGACTGGGTTCAAGAAATGCACTACTGAGCATGGCTTATATGTTAAACATTTAGCTAATGGTCAGACACTTGTTATATGTTTGTATGTTGATGATCTGCTTCTAACAGGTAGTTGGGATAGTGGCATTGAAGAAATCAAGGTCAGACTGAAGTCAGAATATGAGATGACAGATCTTGGAAGATTGTCTTATTTTCTGGGAATAGAGTTCCTAGAGACTGATCATGGAATACTCATGCATCAGAAAAAGTACATATTTGATGTTCTGAGAAAGTTTGAGATGTTGAGTTGTAATCCAGCTGAGACACCTGCAGAAGCTAATCTGAAGTTGGACCTATGTGAACATGAATCTACTGTTGATGCTACTTTGTTCAGACAAATGGTTGGTTGCTTGAGGTTTATTTGTCATACCAGGCCTGAAATCTCATATGTTGTTGGGCTTGTGAGCAGATTTATGAGCAATCCAAAGAAGTCTCATTTGGTTGCAGCAAAGAGGATTGTGATATATCTTAGTAATACTACTGATTATGGAATTTTACTCTCTAAACCAGCTGCTGAAGTATCTCTTCAACTAACTGGTTATTCAGATTCAGATTGGTGTGGGGATTTACTTGAAAGGAAAAGTACTATGGGGTATGTATTTTTACTTTCAGGTACTCCTATATCCTGGTGTTCGAAGAAGCAAGAAGTCATTGCTTTATCTACTTGTGAGGCTGGATACATTTCAGCTTGTCATGCTGCTTGTCAAGCCTTATGGCTGATATCCTTGTTAGATGAACTGAAGATTGGTTTGAGAAGTAAAGTTGAGCTGAATGTTGATAACAAATCAGCTATCAACTTGGCAAAGAACCCAATTGCTCATGGACGAAGCAAGCATATTGAGACAAAATATCATTTCTTAAGAGAGCAAGTTCCCAAAGAGAAGATCATTTTGAAGTACTGTAGAACTGAAGTTCAAGTGGCTGATATTTTGACAAAATCTCTTAGAATAGACAGATTCAGAATGATTAGAGGATTGCTGAACGTTGTATGTTCAAACTATTGAATTATGGGGGAGTGTTAAATAAAAGCCTTTAATTCAATAGTTGATTAGTTAGCCGGGTTGTTGACCGGGTTGTTCAGTTTGTTATCTTTGTATTGATCTAATCATTCTGTTAAGCCTGAGCTATAAGTACTATGATTTCCATTTGGATAAACAGTCTGCTTTCTTTCTCCAACATCGATCTCTTATTCTCCTTCAAATAAGTTCCCCGCTTCCGGCCAAGAATTTCACTACTAGTGTGCCCCTGCTCTGACAAATCTCTGGATCCGCTACTGGTTGTACATGAAAAGTATAAGCTCAAATTTTCATTTCGGGTTATGTGCCATGAATTTAATGGATGTTGCCAAGTACTAGAGTTCAGCTGTGCAAGATTTGTGAGTACTGTGGTGGGTTCTTTCTCATCCCCGAGGGCCCCTAACCCCGACCGGACAGTACGTTGGAGGATGTAAGTTGGACTATAATCCCAATCTGACAGATAGAGAGTGGGGCTCTATCCCCGGTACTTGCAGAGGTCCTATGCATTTTTTAGCATAGTAACCCCTCATCGCAGTTGCCGGGATTCGAAACCGGGACCTAACCTTTGTGGCACTCCCTTCCTACCGGTTCAGCTACGTCCACCGGTTGGGTTCTTCCTCTTCATTTTCCACGAGAGTGCGTTCTAGTCATCGCTCTCGTGTTACAGCTTGTAACTTTGGTAAGTGTTGTCCATGTTGACAGGTTCCTATGCGCCAACAATTAGAGACCCTGGAATGAATTGAAGGACTCAAATTCCAGATTTACATTTGAGGTTGTGAACTTCTGCTAAGAAGTCAGAGGAGAAGCTCCAAAAGTGGGTGGCTAAGGCTGGATAGCTGAGCTGACCTTTGTTGAGCAGGTGATAAGCACAGAGGAACATATTCTTCCAAAGAGATGCAAATTTTAAGTACATTAGAGTTTAAATGAATCATTCTGGTGGTCTTTTATATATAAATCTTTCTATATGATATGCTTGAATTTATCTTGTAGCTGTTTGGCCACACATTTTTTGCGCTGTTCTTCGTAGTCAAGCTCGAAATTGATATGGTCTACAGATCTTGTTGACAGATTTAAGGAAGAGGAATAAGACATTAAGAATTACGAATAATAGAAGGGAGAAGCTCTAGCTAAGGTTCCTGGTCTCCTGTGCTTTACGATAGTGCAGAAATGCTGAAATAGAAAAGATTGCTTCTGTGGTGCTAAGATGGAGAAGAAAAGTAACGGTTAGATTACTTTGATCTGACGGGGAAGTACTAAAACGATACAAAGAGATTTCGAGAATAGCTACATGGGGTAGACACCTCCCTATTTGAGGCAGAACTTCAAAATATGACAAGCACCCTGATATAATCATCAAGGGTATCCGAATTTTATTGGCAAAAAATAAATACTCCACATCTATGTAGCACGGAAACTCTTGGGAAGGAGTACGTTTCCGTTTCGGAAACTCTACGGAAACTCTTGGAAACTCTCGAAACAAGTCTTTTTTGGGCAACATTTGATGTTTCCCGTTTCCCGTTTCCTCGTTTCCTCATGACTTTCATGTTTCCGTTCAACATAGCTCCCCATTGTTTCAGGTCAATGAGGTCAAACCCAACCTACAAGGCCTTCAAACCCTCCTCAAAAAATCTGGTAAAAGCATCCATTTGTGTAAGGGGCAGTGCCAAACCAATCTCAAGTGCACCTTCCGCATCCTTGCTTGCACTCAGAGACATGGCCCCTGTTATATCTATCGATGGAATCTCAAGCTTTTTAGGCTTCCCCCATCCAAAATCTAACCCATAATAGGCAAACTTGGGGGACCCAGTAAGACTCAATGTACGGTCCATGTTAATTGTGGATAGGAGCGTAAACCAATCTTCAGCTCCTTTGAAGACTCCATCTTTATCTTTATTGTACAGCTGGCCACGTATGCTTTCTCCGATCACTCCCGCCGCCACCGCCAACCCATCCTCACCCACCTGTTCCTTAACCTTCGCATATCCATAACAAACCGTGATGCAATTCCCGAAGTAGTTCTCCGGCAACGGCGGATCCAAACGCGCCCTACAATCCGCCGTACAACCAAACAGCTCATCTTCCTCGTCATTAGCGTACACGCCCGCCACGTGGCGAGACCGTATCACGCAATTCCAGACGTACGAACACGTCACTGTGAATGAGGTTACGTGTGCCAGCTCCGGGCGTCGAGCTATGACGTGGCTCTTGAGCCTTTGGATGTCGCGACGTGTCAGTGTAAACGTGGAACGGACTTTGTTCTTGATCGTTGGAAGCAGGTCAACATGGGTATCCTCGATCTTGAGATTCTTCAGATTTTCCCAGAAAATGGTTTCTAATTTTCCCCTGCCTTCTTTGAGCTCTGTTCTGTCGAAATACGGTAAAGAATCCGGTTTGACTTTTTGGTCTCCGTCGCCGGCAAAGAAAGCCCACGTCTTCATGAAACCGAAGATGGTTTTACCGTCACCGACGACGTGATGATTGGTAACGCCGATGCAAACCCCGACGTTTGGGAATAGTGTCACTTGTAACGCTAACAGAGGTACCAGGGCAGATCCGTCAGAGTTTCTTGACGGCGGGGATAGTCTCGGAACAAGCGGATGAAAATCAGCGCAGCTTTTAGCTCCGTTAGACACTAGACGGTCAAAATCGCCCTCGGTTAGTGTAGACTCCGCCAAGACTAACGGGACGGAGTCGCCGTCAGCGTAACGGATTTCCGGCAAGATCGAATTGTCAGATGAGACTATCAACTTTCCGGCGAGGGGACTATAGTGTTGAAGGCTTTTGGACAGAGAATTTTTGATGATGGGAAAAAGGGTATCTATAAAATGCGTTTTCGATATGGGGTGGTGATAGAAGATGAGTCGGTGAACTGGGCTCATGTGTAACCACAGCAGGTCGAGAAACGTGAGCGGAAGAGTGAGACTTGCGGCGGATTCCGGCGGTGGTGCCACCCGGAATTGATCCAGTACGGTGAGGTCAAGGGGTTGACTTCCGGCCATGAGGAATTATGTTTGGTGATAAATATGAGGTGGGGTCTTCGAATGAGTGGCCAGGATGGATTATAAGATAATATGGGATGTGAATTTCTATTTAAAGGAGGAGGAGAATTCACTGCCAATATTTCCAGCTTGCCAACTTCGACATGTCTGGTACGGCTCTTGTAGTATTATTATGTAGGCCCTTTGACATTTGACACCTACCCTTATCATCACTTTTTTCTCGTTACGTCACGAGTGACTCAAATGTTAAACTCGTGTATCACAAGGATAAGTCTCGCATTTGATATTACAAGAATACGACTAAAACAAGGCCCAGGAAAGTAAATAACTCCCAACTTTTTAAACCCTAAATAGAAAAGACGCTGCCTGCAAATGTTTGTAGTTCCCATTCTGCCATCATAGGGAGGTAACACACCAGCCAATCAACTCACCCGCAACTCCGCAAGGCAACGACGGTGAGACCCATGGATGACCAAATTTTTCTCTTTTTCTCATCAGTCGCACATCACACTGCGTTTTCCTTTGAAGAAATCACCGAGCTTCCCGAATCTCCGAGAAACCAAAATAGGTTGGGTGGAGTGATTGATTCGGAAATTGCTGAAGATGAAGGGTTGAAGGAGGATGTATTAAAGCCGATGAAGGATCATACAGATCTCGCTCTCGATCTGCTACAACTTCTTCCTATTTTCTTCTTCTTCTCTCTTCCACCTCCTTATTCTTCTTTCTTCTTCCTCCCTGCTATGAGACAACGCTTCGTCTGTAGCTTTTTATGTTTGTTTTACTTTTCGATTTCTAGATACAACACTATTATTTTTCTTTTATAATTTCTTATTTCAATTTTATGAATTCATTTAATGAATTCAATTCTCTAGATCAGAGGTTATATCATTATTCATTTTGAATTTTTTTCATTGATAATAATATGATAAACAATGTCACTAATATCAATATTAATAATGATGTCTTTATTTCCAGAGACCTTTAGCCTGGTGTTTCCTGCGACATAGTGCTCTCTGTGGAATCAAAAATGGGTGTTGACAACTATTACATATTATGAGAATTATAGAAGACGTTTGCCAAAGCAGAGTCATCTAAAATTATCATAATCGTAAGAATGTCGGACATTCATTGGTCATAAAATGTTGGTTTGATCTCACAAAGTCATCAAAACGGTTTTGGACTTTGAGGCAAAGTGTTGAGTAACTCAAACATAAGATATAAAACTCAACAAACCAAAAATTACATAGGATGTAATTAGCAATTGTTGCTTACCCAATTAATAAAGTTTTGAGTGAAAAGCCAAAGCTTTCTCAAATTTTTGCTAAAAGGGATCTTGGTCCTACTATGTCCCATTGGGATGTTTACTTGTTTGACATAGTAGGAGTCTTTAATAATAAGCACACATATTAATCTTTGTACATGTTTTCTGTAGAAAATGGCAAATAACAACACATCCACTTTTTCCCTGCGATCCGTCCTTGAGAAGGAAAAACTGACACAACCAACTTCCTAGACTGATCTATCCCTATAGACCTTGATCCCTAATATATAGGTTGCCTCGCCCAAGTCTTTCATTGAAAAACAATTTCCCAGCCAAGTCTTAACAGATTGAAGCATGGGAATATCATTTCCAATGAGTAGTATGTCATCTACATACAATACCGGAAAGATTATTGCGCTCCCACTGACCTTCTTGTATACACAAGGTTCTTCTTCGTTTTTCATGAAACCAAACTCTTTGACAACCTCATTAAAACGAAGATTCCAACTCCGAGATGCTTGCTTAAGACCATATATGGATCTCTTAAGCTTGCATACTTTATTAGCATTTATCGGATCGACAAAACCTTCAGGTTGTGTCATGTACACATCCTCTTCAATGTATCCATTTAGGAAAACAGTTTTGACATCCATTTGCCATATATCATAGTCATAATACGGGGCGATGCTTAAAAGTATCCTGATTGATTTAAACATGACAACTGGAGAAAAGGATTCATCATAGTCAATACCATGAATTTGTCGATATCCTTTTGCAACCAATCGAGCCTTATAGACATCGATCTTGCCATCCTTATCAAGCTTTATTTTGAAAATCCATTTGCATTCTATGGCTCTATAGCCATCTGGCAAGTCAACCAAGTCCCATACTTGATTGTCGTACATGGATTTCATTTCGGATCTCATGGTTTCTTGCCATTCTTTGGAACTAGAACTCTCCATTGCTTCCTTGAAAGTGAGTGGCTCATTGTTGTCTAACAACAACACGTCTTTCTCATTTGAGACGATAAATGAATATCTCTCAGGTTCTTGACGTGGCCTACTTGACCTTCGTAAGGTTGTCACTTCTTCTGGAGCCTGTGAACCTGTTTGCATATTTGATTCAGGCTCTTCATTGAGAGCATCAATTTCATCTCGAATTTCTTCAAGATGTATCTTGCTCCCACTGTTCTCCTTTGAAAGAAATTCTCTTTCTAAGAAGACACCATTCCGAGCTACAAACACTTTGTTTTCGGTCTGGTTATAGAAGTAATATCCTTTGGTTTCTTTAGGATATCCAACAAAGAAGCATCTCTCTGATTTGGGTTCTAATTTAGTCGTGGTCAATAGTCTAACGAAAGCTTGACATCCCCAAATCTTAAAAAATGATAAACTAGGAACCTTTCCAGTCCATAACTCGTAAGGTGTCTTTTCTACAGCCTTGGATGGAGATCTATTCAGTGTGAACACTGCGGTTTCAAGAGCATATCCCCAAAAGGATGCTGGAAGGGAGGTCTGACTCATCATTGATCGAACCATGTCTAACAGAGTCCGATTCCTCCTTTCGGATAGACCACTCCATTGTGGTGTTCCTGGTGGAGTAAGTTGGGAAATGATGCCACAACTTTTAAGATGATCATTGAAATCATGGCTTAAATATTCTCCTCCTCGATCTGATCGAAGAATTTTAATACTCTTACCAAGTTGATTTTGTACTTCATTCTGAAAATCCTTGAATCTTCCAAAAGATTCTGATTTATGTTTCATCAAATAAACATAACCATATCTACTGAGATCATCAGTGAATGTGATGAAGTATTGATATCCTCCTCTAGCATGTGTGTTCAGTGGTCCACATACATCGGTATGAATGAGTCCCAAAAGATCACTTGCCCTTTCGTTGTTACCAATGAATGGACTATTAGTCATCTTTCCCAATAAACAAGATTCACAACGTTCAAGAGACTGGAAGTTAAATGAACTTAGAAGACCATCTTTATGGAGCTTCTGTAAGCGTTTCTCATTTATGTGGCCTAAACGACAATGCCATAGAAGAGTAGGATTAGAATCATCAGACTTGATTCTCTAACTACTTACGTTATAGATATCTATTTCAAGATTTAGAATGTAAAGATCATCCAATAATTGGCCAAAACCATAGTGCACATTATTCTTAGAAAACGAACAACTATTGTTCTTAAAGTTAAATTCAAAACCTTCCTTGTCCAACAAAAAATAGAAATAATGTTTCTGCTAAACGAAGGCACATGGTAGCAATTATTCAATTCTAAAATAACTCATGAAGGCAAAGGTATTTCGAGTGTTCCTAAAGCTAAAGCAGCAACTTTTGCTCGATTTCCAACTCGTAGGTCCACTTCTCCTTTAGCCAGCTTCCTACTCCTTTTGAACCCCTGCACATTTGTACAAATGTGAGATGCACTTCCAGTATCTAATACCCAAGAAGTAGAAGAAGCTGAAGTAACATTTACTTCTATAACGTAAGTACCTGATTTAGAAGAATTCATTCACTTCTTTTCCTCAAGGTATTTCTTACAGTTCCTCTTCCAATGACCCTTTTCATTGTAGTGGAAGCATAACATTTTAACTTGTGGATTGGGCTTGGGCTCAGATTTCACCTTGTTGTTTTTCCAGTTTTTAACGGGAGTTTTGCCCTTGCCCTTTCCTTTCTTAGTTCCATGTCTCTTGAAAACCTTTCCCTTTTGAACCACTAGAACATCGTTCTTCCTTTTCTTAACAATGTTCTGCTCAGCCGTTTTCAACATTCCATGAAGCTCATTCAATGTCTTCTCCAGGTTGTGCATGTTGAAATTCATGATGAAACCATCAAATGATTCTGGCAACGACTGAAGAATGACATCAGTAGCCAACTCTTGGCTAATGGTTGTCCCCAACCTTTCAAGGTGATCAATGTACCCAATCATTTTGAGTACATGGGGTTTAATAGAGCTTCCCTCGTGAAGCTTGCATGAAAACAAAGACTTAGTAGTCTCATAGCGTTCAACTCGAGCTTGTTCTTGAAACAAACCTTTTAGTTCCTTAACCATGTCGAAAGCACTTAAGTTCTCAAACTGTTTTTGCAGATCAGTGTTCATGCTAGCAAGCATGAGGCACGAAACATCCAAATCATCATTTAGATGCTTCTGATATGCATCCTTTTGAGCACGAGGGGCATTAGCTGCTGGTTCTTCAGCAGGAATTGCATTCTCGAGGACATAGTCTTTCCTCTCATGCTTGAGAACAATTCTCAAATTCCTAAACCAGTCTAGGAAGTTGGTTGTGTTCAGTTTTTCCTTCTCAAGGACGGATCACAGGGAAAAAGGGGATGTGTTGTTATTTGCCATTTTCTACAGAAAACATGTACAAAGATTAATATGTGTGCTTATTATTAAAGACTCCTACTATGTCAAACAAGTAAACCTCCCAATGGGACATAGTAGGACCAAGATCCCTTTTAGCAAAAATTTGAGAAAGCTTTGACTTTTCACTCAAAACTTTGTTAATTGGGTAAGCAACAATTGCTAATTACATCCTATGTAATTCTTGGTTTGTTGAATTTTATATCTTATGTTTGAGCTACTCAACACTTTGCCTCAAAGTCCAAAACCGTTTTGATGACTTTGTGAGATCAAACCAACATTTTATGACCAATGAATGTCCGACATTCTTACCATTATGATAATTTTAGATGACTCTGCTTTGGCAAACGTCTTCTATAATTCTCATAATATGTAATAGTTGTCAATGTTGGAAAGGCACAAATGATTCATTTTTATAGGGACATAACTATGCAATGCAATAAGGTGTTTAAACATTTACAAAGAAATAAATATGGGTAAAATGCATGTGATATAGTATGGCCAATATATCAAGCTATTGTTAGCTTCTAGCACTCCATTCTTGGCAGCTCTGGACACTCCAACATGCTCACCATGCTTCTCCATGATGAGCACTCCTCCATCTTTTGATGTATAATTTACAATATTTACATTTTGCATCCTAATACAAAATCCTAATACTGAAAATCAGATTAGTGTTATCTCATAGCATACTATATCAAAACAAAAATATGGCCATACTATATCACTTATAACCATAATCCTGCAGGTTAGTGTTATCTCATAGCATGAAGTATCACATACATGTAAAAGCCCATAAGTAGAGTTTAATCTATGAATTATCAGTTAATATGTCTAATCTCATTAGACATAATTCTTTTGGATCTTTTATGATATGAAAAATCTAACAAGATAATTCGTATATGCTAAATATGGTAATTGCGGAATTTTTTATCATAATAGCAAATAATGGGAAACTTCTGAATATAATAACTTTCTCAAAATCAGATTGTATCATTTTCCTTAACCATATCATATTTTTGGAATCAATTTCTACTTTAGTTCTCCTTTTCTTCACAATGATGGCCCCACTGCCTCTCACGATTGGTTATTCCACTACTCCACAATTGGTTTTCTTTTTTGGGTATTCCACTACCCCGCAATTTGTTTTCATTTGTACCTAATGACAATGTCATAAAAATATATAGAAATGTCATCAGTTTAAGAAAATGTCATAAGAATGTATGTAGAAAACAATGTCAATGATAATGTCATAAGAATGTCAATGATAAAGTCATAAAAATGTCCATAGAAAACAATGTCAGTGACAATGTCATAAGAATGTCAGTGACAATGTC